TTTAGTTAAAATTAACAAAGTAAAAAGGCAACATCATATTACTATTTTTAGTAGATATAATATTCAAAATTTCAATTTTTTAATTATTTTATAATTTCTTATTTTAATAACTCTACAGTCCAAATTAATTAATATATAATGTTGAAGCTGTTTTGATCATGTTTTTGTGTATTTTAAATTACTTTGAATATCAAAATGCCAAAATGGATTATTAACTCTATCCTTTAATTAAGACTTTATAAGACAAAAAGTTAAATGTGTTTAGGGCGGGCTTAAAAAAAAAATTGTAGGTCACAAAGTTTTGTTGGCATAAATTTAAAGTAAGATGTGTCAGGGGTGGAGGACACTGAAATATCGTTTTTTTCGCAAACATGTACATTGCACAATGTATGTACAATGTACAGTGTACATAGTGCATAACCTTGAATTTACTCTTACAACGCTAATTTTAGTATCCCCCACGTTTTCTCTGTATATCTTTCAAGTCCGCAATAATTCTTCTACTTTTTGTTGGCTAAACTTGCTGGAATTTGAGATTTATCGTTAAAAGAGGGAAACATGAAATTCGGCGTTAAAAGCGATAAAATAGAAGTTTTCTCTTATGTTTGAATATTTGTTCAGTAACAGTTGTCTAGAAATAGACATTGGAATCTTTTTAAATATGTTTAACCCTTGGTCCTTTTTCTGGTTAGGTTCAGCTGAATAGGTTCGGACATAGCTCTAATTTTAAACATATTTTAATTGTTCAGGTTTAATTCTATTTTTAGATAGGTTTAGGTTTTGCTATAATTTTAGATAAGTTTAGACTTAGTTCTAATTTCAGATTGGTTTTAAGCAGTGTCCACTTTTATAGGGGAAAACAGCTAAAATCGTAATTTACGACAACCCGCGGGTAAACGGTGGGACTAACTATGACTACCATGTTACCTGACCATGGTTCTCATGCTAAATAAATTATAAAGTCATTGTGTGATATTCATTTAAAGGGTTTAGTTATTCCTTGTTTTATTTTTGTTTTTGATAGTGCTTAAATGCTTAAATCGAGATTGTTTGTTTCAGAGTGTTATTTTCACTGCAGTAACTTGTATTATTTTAGTAATGGCTGCCAAAAAAAATAAGGACGCTTCGTGTCTCTTTTCATAATCTGATGGACACACAGACAGATGAATTGTAACTTCATAGTCTGATGGACGCACAGACAGATGAACTGTAAACTTCATAGTGTGATGGACACACAGACAGATGAACTGTAAACAAAGACAGAGGGACAGAACGTACAGACAGATGAACACTCAGACAGATGAGCACACAGACAGATGAGCACACAGAAAAATGAGCGCACAGACAGTTGTGCACACAGACAGATGAGCACACAGAAAGATGAGCACACTGGCATCTAGACACACAGTTAGATAAACTTCCAGACTAATGGACTCACTGACAGCTTTATACACAGATAGATGGACAGACATACAGACTGATGGACTCACTGACAGATTTATGCATAAATAGATGGACAGACAGACAGACAGATGGAAAGACAAACATATATAAGATGCGTGTATGAACCGGAAATGATGTTTGCAAGTATTACAGGTGGAGGTGGTGGAGGGGGGAGGGGGGGTAG